TCTCTCTCTCTCTCTCTCCTCCTGGCGATGGGCTCGCGTGCCAGGAGGCGTGGGAATGGGAACGTCGCCGAGGTTTTAAAGGCTCGAATTAACTCCTTTTTGTTCCCCGCCGTGGAAAAAAAGAATTTCGAGGGAGTAACAGCCGATTTTCTGCCTTCCCTCACCGCCATTCTCTCGTCGAGAACGTAACGCGAGAGAACCTCGGCCACTGTACTAACTACTTCTTCTTCCTCGAGCTTTCTTCCCGCTTTCGAAGTCGTAGCCACACGTGTGAAAGCGTTTATCAAGTACAAAATGTGAGCGGTACGCGAGAGGTGAAAGAGGTGGAACTTTTTTGTTTTTTCTTTCAACGCAGAAGGTAGTAATTAAGGATTACGAGAGGTTCAGCGGTTTTCCTTTCCTTCGAGCGTCTACCTTTTGTTTAATAGAGACACAAGCATCGTGTTTCTCGAGGACGGATCTTCTTTTGCGATTTTTAATCTCGTATTTGACGGAAGTTGAGTGAATAAAAAAATATAGAAGATATGTCAAGGACCGATATTTTCATTTGCAACTCTTTCGTGATCACTTTTTAATATCGCGTGAAAAAAAAAAAGAATTCAAGGATTCACTTAATTTACACAACATTCACGTACTTTTCGCCTAGATTCCATAATTTCATGAAATTTCAAGAAATTCTAGTATTCACGCTAACATGAACTTCATGATATTCTCAAGATCAAAAAAAAAAAAAAAAAAATCAAAGTTTTTCTTTTGCAATCGTCGGCTATTTTCAATCTTCGACAGTTCTCGCATTTAACAGACAGCAAATAAATCAGTCTCCTTGTCTCCTATTCACGAATTTACGCCAAATTAACGAAAACTTTCTCTCAGAGGAAGTTCGATGCCTTCGAATACAGTGAAATCAGTCCCGGATTTTCCTCTGGTAATCTATTCGCTGTTCGAACAACGAGCGAAAAATCACCGAACACGTGTGCGCGTGTGGGACGTGCGCCGAGAGAAAGGGGCGAAACACACATGGCGACGATCGCGTTGAAATGGAAGAAAAAAGGCCGCCTGATGTGGACAAATTGGCGCGGAGTAGCCGGTTGAACGTGCGTTGAAAAGAGAGGCGAGTCTTGATATTTTTAATTAATGCGGTTCGTTAAGCGAGACATTGTCCCTTTAATCGCGGGGCACAGAGGGTCCGCGAGATGTCTGACACTTAATTCCGCGGGATTTTTGCGCGCGTGGTAGCTCGCTGCCTCGCGATTTCTGAATTAATGTGCCAATTAATGGCTTCATCGTCGTCGTGGCCGATCCAACGTACAGGAAATTATGACGTTGTTCCCAACTGCGTTTCTGGCACGCGCGTTGCAAAACGCAGTGCACGTTTATGAACCACAGGCTTGGGATACATTCGCGTTTGAAACAGGAGAAAAAGTGAATTTAATTATTTAAAAATTAATGCAATTATTTCCCAGATACAATCTAATATATATGCAACAGGAGTTGTATTAATCTGGTGAACTTTAACTTTGATCAATTCCAAGAGAATAACTTGGTGTGATTATTCTTCAGGGACACGGTGGTATTTAAAACGTTAATTTCTTTCTTCAGAGCATAATTTAATATCTGGTTTGGTTCACACAAACTTAAAAAGATCGTACAGCTAATTACACAGCAATCAATTCTTCTTAAACATAGGGCGAAAATGCAAAAGAAATAATTAAATAAATTTCTGAATAAAAAGACTTTTGTGCAATTTGATTTGCAACGAAAATAGAAAAAAGAAGAAATATAAGTAATCGAGAATTTATCAAATTTTAATTATTATTCGTATTACTCTCTGGTAGAATTAGCCTAGTCCCGGATCATTTGATAAACGAAAAATGTGTACATTTATGGACAACGAAGCAAAATCGAGATTGTCCACCGAGAAACATTAATCGTACTGAGACACGAATAGTTTTCGAGGGTCGGTGAAGAACGACTTTTCGAGGAATCGCTTATCCGTTTTTTAATGCCGCGAAATGTATCGCGTTCGATTCGAGGAAAAGGGAAGTTAATGGCTGAGAACGAGCGGGGAATGTGATTGGATTCAATTCGAAGTTTGATAACGGGGAAGCGAGTGTCGTCAAAGTGAGTCAACACCTTGATTTGATATATTGCGATCTTCTACTTCCCTGTTTTCGGCGTCTTAATGTGTTTGGATCGATTATTATCAATTGTGTATGTATCTTTCTTTTATCACCAAGTGGAAACCTATAAATAAAAAATATAATATATTAATATAATACTAATAACGAGAACTTTAAATATAAATAAACAAAGCGTAATTATATATTACGTCTCGCCCAAAAACTTAGAGTTTAGAGTGTGTTAGAATTTCAAAGGAAATGACGACTTAAAGAAGTACTTGATCTATGATATTAATGCTGAAACTATAATTAATTGTATTTATATTGACGAAATTTGTAATTACAATATTGATACTTGTCAGGAAAATGTAAGTTTGAAAGAAACTTCTGACCGACAGTGAATATTAAGTTCTTTCTCCGTCAATAATGGAATTATTTCTAATTACCGGCTAGTACGTCGTTAGAGCATTCCCTAATTGAATAAAACATAATCTTCTATTTTTCAATGTCCATTATTGGTTTCGGTGTCTATTTTTTGTTTTACAAATTATGACGGAAATTAGGGAAATTCAACAGCAAAGTAATTCTCATATCAGTGATGTAGAAAATATTAATTTTCTACATCACTGTTCCTGGTATCTCTGATTATGTCCATTCTAGAATTTATAAC